TTTCCAAATGTGCTTTGTCCTGTTAACCCTGCAGATTGGTTTAGGCCCTATTAGTGCTACACTTTGAAAACAGCATAATGAAATATCATAAGACCTTTAAAAAGCCCCAAAAACTTAAACAGCAGCAGGTGATGAACACACAAGACACCATTTTCTTACAAAGTAGAACTCCTGTGTGCACAGATACTTACTGGGCAGTAACACTTGTTTTGGCATCAGTGAAGGTTTCCAGTGCTAAATGAGTAGACATTCCTGTACCAAGCAGCTATTCAAGACTTACTGACACTCATCAACGAAATCAGATGCTCCTCATGTAAGCACTGACTATTGTATTGCAGTAACGATAAAGCTTTAATATTTTCAGATCCTGCAGTCAGAAGAGTATGTATATACTATAAATGTAATAAATGTAGCATCTGCTCTCTGTGAAACATTCCATGTCATCTAGAATTTAAATTTATGTACACATCTAGATGGATATGGATATATGGATAGCTGAAGAATTTTGTTATCTAAGTTAAACACTTTTCCCAGCAATTTGAATAGAAATCAAAAGCACAATTCATTACCTACATTATTAAAAAAATGCTTTATTTATTACCCTTAGCTTGAGACTTAAGTTACTGCCCTTACACTAAAATAAAGTCAGTATGGGCGTCATTCCTATCTGGACAATAAAGCAAGACTAAAATTGCACATATAGTTTTTCATCAAAGGAAAAGATAAAACCCATGATATACTACCACTTCTAAAGAATGCATTAACAAAGCTACGCTCATTATAACAAGAATTGTTGGTACACACTGGTAAATTCAACAACTGTACAATATCTGGTGTGATTTTACATGTACAGGATGCCAAAAAGAGCAATTGCACTACATTCACAAACATACAGTTCACAAAAATACCAACTAATAATATTACTGGTGAACTTTTTAAAAACTTTTCAATTCTTTTGAAAAGTACTACAGAAGTACTCTGAATCCTTGACATACACTTATTTCATTTTTTTTTTTTCTTAATAGTGGCAATCTTCAGAGCTCCTGGTAAGTTTAACCTGGCACTCTTCTCATGAAGAGATCTTGTCCCATATCAGCCTGTCATATTTTCAGCAGCCTAGAAACAAAAAAAAAATTATTCCAGGTCACCAAAAGAGACATCATGTATATTAAATTTAATCTTTTCTTGAAACTTTTTAAATTTACCTGGAGAACTTAAGGGTTTAAAAAAAAAAAGCTAATTAGGAAATTTTTTCTAATTTTTCTAATTTTTTCTAATGGACACTATTTTCTACAAAAATAATGCTGTCAACTGCCAACTTTACTAAAAGAGCCATTGCTGTTTGCTTGTGTTACATCCTGTATCTGAGCAGCTTTTATCTTGTACATTTTACCCTAATACCTTCAAGAAAGGCTCAAATGCATAAATATAGTTGCCTGTGGAGTTTGCTTTATATAATTTATGATAATTATAACCCCATCCATACAGATAAGTTATTGACACAAAACTCAGAAGAATGATGGTAATCATAACTGCATAAATCACACTACCAATTTTTTGATGAAGAATATTTTTTATTTTTATTACTGAATAACTCCAGTGAACAAGGCACTGCTGTTGAAGACTGATACTGGTAGATTTTAAACCAGTTATGGGACAAACAAGCAAAGAAGAACAATAGGAATGGGAAACCAGTGAAAGCAATGGAAGAAGTAAAACAGCCACCAATTATTTATATACACAGTTAAATGTGTGTGTAAGCACACATATAAGCACAGACACAAATACAAAATATGTATGAGCATAGAAAAATGTTAAGTTAAAAATAAAGTATGCAGTCTTCCAGAATAGAAGCTACATATTGGTTTTCCCTTTCACCTCTCAAAAATAACAAAATATAAGATGCAGTAGTAAAAGTCCTGACACTGATGTTTAGGTAGACAGTAAAGAATGAAAATCCTTTAAAATGCAAGTGAGATTTTTTTTTTTAAAACCATGATTACCCTCTACTAGTTAAACAGGCAAATACACATATATGAAAATCCCTATATATACACACACATCACAAAATCCCCTCCTTCCAGTCTTTGGAAAGGTTCAAAGCACAGGTTAAGGAGGATAAAAGCAATATGTTAAGGTGATGTTAACAAGCTGCATGTACCTGTTTACAAGTACTGTTAGATCTGAGGTTGTAGAAATGAGGTGATACTGGTTAAAGGAAAAATCTATCTCTGATATTAATCAGGTAGGGGGAGAAATGGTGACTATAATAAAAATTTGTGAGTTTTGGTTGTGTTTTTTTTTCTTCAGAAGAGTTAGTCTAATTTTTTTTATTTCTACAAAGCATGTTATTTGTACCATTTTCTGTTTCATGTTGAATTCAGTTGTATTCATTGCATCCTTAATTGAAAATTTAATTTCCTTGACTTAAAAATGAGTCATATTAAAGTGCAATTTACAAACTGAAGTACAGCAAGCTGCATGTACATCTGACTCTTAAAAACAAATTTATAAGCTTTTTAAACTTGAGCATTACCTTTAGAGCTTCTGTAGCCTTGCGCAGCTCTTTAATAACAGAAGATAATGCCTCTGGATTTATGCCTTGTTCACAAAGCCGCACACAAATAGATAATGTCTCCATATCCAAGCCAGTGTTTAATATTCTTGAAATCTCAAACAGAACTGCAACAGAAAAAATGAAAGCCCTTTAGTCCCTACAGACTATGAAATTTCAATGATCAAGACTATTCTTCATCAACATTTTGATTCTACAATACTTCTCCAGTGCGAACATGGCAAATGTTCATTGCTGTTTGAACTTCAACAATATTTATGGTCAACTTCCCAACATAACCTAAAAGCTTCTAACATAAACACCATGCTTTCCTGGGTCAGAAAATTTAATATTGGAAAATGGCTTTTAAAAAAGTAAAAAAAATAAGTAAAGAATTCAACAATTAACGTGCCTGCCCATTAGATAAATGGTAGTCTATAAGAACACTGTGCTTTCGGACTGCAGATACTGATGAAGTCCTTCCTAATCCTCAGGTGTTGAGGCAAGTGTCTTTGGCAGAGAGATGTAGCAGTTTCTCCAAATTCTGAACTCTTAATAACTTTGCAGACAGCAACTGCTAAACATCTGTATGCTAAATTAAATACACACATAGTTACAAAGGAAGCCTGGGTTCCTGAATCTTAAGATTAATGCACTTTCCATATCTGTTCTCAAAAACCTTACTTTGTCTTTAAATCTGCCTGTTGTCCCTCCTGTCTAAATCATTCTTGCAGAAGTGGCAAGAAGGAAGTTGTTAAGTGCAGTTACCAGAGTTTAGATTCTTTGTCCTTCCCAAAGAAATCTCTCCCTATCTGCACAAAATGGTTTTACCCTCTTGAAGAATCAGAGGAGCCATAATGATCCTGCTAGTCCTGCCTTGCCTCCAGCAGCAGGTCAGATCATGGAGATCAGTAGCTGAAATGCTTTTTTATACCAGCTCAACTCATGAAGGTCTGTGCTAAAAAATCTTTCTGTAACAGCAGCTGTAACTTCAAGAGAAGGAAAGATGCTGAGAAAATAACAAATTCATAGCATTATCCCTTGAACATTCTCCCTACCCTCTACTCCCTCACTAGGGCATTGTCAGAGAAAGGCTTCACATTTAACAACCCTCATCAGAGTGCCTGGCTGCTTTCCACCCTGCATCTAAGCTTTTGGTATAGGGATTTTGTGGAATTCCAGATTTCACACTACACTAAGAAACAACTTAAAAACATGCCAGCTTTGATTCCTCGTAGTCAGGCTGAAAGTGAGCACCAGAACTTCATGCACCTGCTCACATTTCTCATGGCTTATCAATCTCCAAAATATTTCCCAGTACTCCCAGTACCCTTTCTCTCACATTCCCCATCCCACAACAGTCCCTGGGTTTGGGCTGTTTGTTTTATTTCCAGATGAGAATCTATTTTAGCTCTGTAACACTGACAACTGTCCTCAAAGCTTATTGCAGTTTGGGTTGCTTTAGGTTTGGCTGGTTTTTTTTCAGTTTATTTTGGTTTTCTGACATGAGCCACGAACGAGAACGAAATATCGGGGTTCAGATCAGTTCAGGTGCTGCCGCCGCCACCGCCACAGGGCCGGTCCTTCCTCTCTCTCCCGCGCACCTCCAGCCCCCTGGCTTAAATCCAGCTGCACTGAGCCAATCATTTACATTACCCGTTACAAATAACGGGAAACAAGAGCAAACATACATACATACATACATACATATATATATATATATATATATACATATATATATATATATATGTATGTATACACACACTGAAAAAACCCGAGTACTCTATGTTAAATACTTAGCTAAATTAAAAAAACAGAACCCAACAAAACCAAAATAAGGAAAAGCCACATCGCGTCCAAGGACACTCGCTCTGCGGCGGTTGAATCGCTTCACGAAGCAAAACAAAAACTGCTACTGATCTTTCGGTAGCCGCGACCCGCGCCCCTCTTCCCGAGAGAGGTGCCCATGTGCACGGCCCTGGGCGGGGCCAGGCGCTCCCTCTCCCTTGCAGCCTGCGCGTCCCTGCCCCGCGGCCGTCACGCACCGTCCATGGTCTCCCTCACGGCGTTCAGGCTAGCGGCGTTGCTCGCCATGGCGACCCCGCCGCGCCCGGAACCGGAACGCCCCGCACAGGCCCGGGCCCGCCGGCCCCACGTGACGGCCCGGCGCAGCGCGAGCGCGGCGGGGGCGGGCTCCCTTTGAATTCGTGTGGTGGCGCCGCTGGCGATTGGCCCGTTCGAGAGAGGGACAGCCCTGCCATTGGCCCGACGGCGCACACCGCGCTTCGTGATTGGTCAGAGTCCTCAGAGGGGGCGGGGCTGATTAAAGGACCGCCCGGCGCGGCGGGGGCGGGAGCGGCGCGGCGGCGGCGGCTGGATAACGGTGGCGGGTGGCTGTGCCTGTATCCCTGGCATTCCCGGCATCGCCTCCTCGGCGGCGGGGCTTGGGAGAGCGGCGAGCGGCTCGGCGCGGTGGCACCGTCCCGGGGAGAAGTGTGAGAAGGGGCTGGGCGGAGCCGCTTCCCCGGGGCTCCCGTCCCCTTTGCGGCCGGAGGCGCGGGACGTGCTCTCCCTCCGCAGCCCCGCGAGGGCTGGGGCTGCCCCCGGCCCGTTGAGGCGGAGGGCGGGCGGTTTCAGCGCCCGGGCGGAGCGGGACCTGCCCGGGGCGTTATTGCTTCCCCGGCCGCTCGGGCAGCACCGCGTCCCCCCGCCCGCAGCCGGGCTGGCCCCGTGTGCAGGCAGGACGGGACAGAACGGCCGTTCGGTCTCTGCTGGTGCTTAGTTGGGGTTTTTGGTTTGTTTGTTGGACTTTTGTCTTGTTTGCTTGTTGTTTTGCCCTTGTTTGGGTGCTTGTTTGGTTTTTCTTAATCCCCCTCTTCGTGTTCTTTCTTAACTCGTTTCCATAGTTTCTGTTTGTAATTGTTCGTACCAGCCGTATTTATCAATTTTATGTCATTAGGTCCAAGCCGTAGCTAACTTGGTTTTCGAAATGCTGCTGGTGCCTTAAAATGATAAATTATCTCTTCCCAAAGCCTTCAGGGTAGCCCTAAAATGTCAAAAGTGTGATTTCATGGTTTTCCTTAATCTTGCTCTCCTTCTTTTTCAGGTATAGCTTAGTGTTATGGGTGATACAGAAGAAGCTAAAATGCAGATAGCACCAGAAACTCCAGGACGAGTCACAATCCTGAATCCTTTTGAAAGTCCCACTGATTACTATACTCTTCAGGAGCAGATTGTTTCCAGTCCTTCCGTCTTTAAGTCAACAAAATCCTCATCTGTAAGATCTAGTCAGTTGTGTTACTGTAGAGATACAGTGTTAATATTTTCAAATAAATATTTCATAAAAAAGGGTATTTTATTTAGTGTGCTTCAACATATGTACCAAGCTAAAGAACTTCAATGGCATTTGGAGTTTCTTCACTTTACAGAACTAGGCTGCTTTTAAATACTAATATTGCCACTTAGTCTTCCTCCCTTCCTAAGTTTATTTTGTCTTTAGATATTAGTGGTTGAGTCCTAAAACCAGTAGAAAGTAGATAAAGACCAGTTGTTGGATGTGGTACTCTAATCCTACTTAAAGTGGAGAAAACCAGTTTCTACGTAGAGGCTAAGTAGGCTGGTTGCAAATAAAACTTAAATGTTGTGAGCTGTTCGTGTATTCAAGTCAATGATTTTGTGTATCTTTAACTTTTTTTTTAGTTGCAAGTTACATACTGGTTTGCAATTGAAATTATTTTCTGATAAGCAGTAGAGATTAAACTGCTAATGAAACTAAAAAAGACTCACTTGGTAGATAATTTTCCAAATATATTTGAATAGTACTTTGTTAAATAAAAGGGTGAAACTGCTTTGTTTCTGAATTGGGTTTTGTTGTGCCTTATATATGGCATTTATGAGGGAGACCTTTCAGGATGTACATGGTGTTGCAGCTCTGGTCTTAGAAATGGGAAGTGAAAGGAAGACTGCTCTATTATTTGGATAACTTGGGTTAAGATACTGGGTTTTCATGGATCCATAGTTTGGATTGTGGCAATCAAGAAGCAATTTAAGTTCACCCCAAGTTACGTATCTTTAGTATACCTGTCCTTAGAAATTGAGAAGAAACTGATGCCTTGGTTTGTAAATACCAGCTGTAACCTTACACTTAATATTATGTTGTAAATTATTGTAATACCATTACCAGCAGGATAAGAAGCTTGACTTACTTTTCTTTTAGAGTAGATCATTTAAATAGAAACACTTTTGATTGTTTTTGATAGAAACTATATGGAAGCTGTGATTGTATTGTTCCATTGAGATTTGTCTTGTGGTTTTATGGTTTTAGAATAGTAAGCATTAAGATGCCCATTTCTCTTTTTTAGACACCAGGAAAATTCAGATGGTCTATTGATCAGCTTGCTCTAATAAATCCCGTGGAAATAGACTCGGAAGACATTCGACGCCAAGGAATGTATTTGAGCCACGCTAGGTAACTTACAATCTATTTTTATGCAGCTAACTTAGCTTTAATACAAGAACACTTGCTCATTTATTTTATTAAAATTTCAGCATAGCGTTAAAGACTTTTTATTCAAATATTTTAACACAATTTTTACATGATGTGGATATAATATTTAAATGAAGCTACCTCTGTGTTGCCTTTTAAAGTTAAGAGCTGCTGATCCACTCTGATTGCAGTTTGGAAGACAGCCAGATAAAAGCAGTTAGTGGAAGCAAGAAAATGTCTTGCCAGTGATCATTAACAGGCTGTCTCTTCTGCTCCTTGTTACAACACAGTTTATCTTCTCAGAATGCTCCGTAGTGAGGCTTCTTTGGTCTCTGGTGCTCCTGCAGAAAGGGTAGACGTGGGAAAACGAGCTGGGGAAGCCACAGTACTCTATTTCAAAGGTATAGATTAGACTTAATATGAAGGAGGGGGCACCAGTGCTAGTTATTTGAAGCAGTTTGGGGACCTTATCTCAACTTCTTTCCTTTCTCTGAAAATAACTTGCATGAGGAAAATGGGTGGGTAAAATAGTCTTGATATTTGGAACTTGAGGGATAATTTTACACGAGTGGTAGAGAACAACATGCCAAGAGGAAGCCTTAATGGCGAATCCTGAAGACTCTCCTGTGCATTTCTCAGATACAGACTTGCATGAAGCACTGCAGGAATAGAATAATAAACCAGTCCTATCTATATCAGGTTGCTCAGGCTCATGCACCTTGATCTTGAATGTTTCCAGGGATGGAGCATCTACCACCTCTCCAAGTAACCTGCTCCAGTGTTTCAACACCCTCATCATAAAAAATACTGTGAAGTAACCTACTGTTTTTAATGTCTGACTGAACCTACATCTCTCTTTTTGAATCATAAAAGCTGTAGAACTATAACTGTCCCCAGCTGTATCTGAATCACCAGGTCTTAATGTTCCCTGTCCTTACTCTAGTAGCCAGTAGGTTTCGGACTAATGCTCTTTATACGTTTTAAAGTCTTAAACCTTAATTTGTTATGGAATTAATTACATTGTTTCTGGAACCTTATTCAGACAAACTAGCTTTAATGGAGATGACCTGGGTGACAATTCCAGTGATGATGAGTGACATGTCCCATAGATATAAAAGTGAAAACATGCATTGTCTCAGTGGGTCCATTCAGTCTGTCCCACTGTTTCATAAACATTGTGGCTCTTTTTTTAAAAAAAATCTGTTGTGACTAGAAAGAGGCTAGTTTGAGTGTGGATAGATTTGCTGTGTCCATGCTTGCAAGTTTCAATGCATACATATACATAAATACACAGTGATTGTATGCTTGTTTTTTTTTTAGTACAATAACTCTGCAAGTGCCTCCATAGATCTATCACTTTAGCATCTTTTAAGGAGATGTAATTGAAGGTGGCGTATCCAAACATTGCAGATGTATTTGAAGTCTGATAAGCATAAAAGAGAGAGCTGTGAGAGTTTACGTATTTGGCACATCTGTGTGTGCTTGTGTATCTAATAATATCTTGCTATCTGACTGATTTCTGAAGTTATTCAAGGATAATTCAGGTATATGAACTGTGAATGAAAGTATTGGGTGATTCAGCTAAGATGATGATGAACATTTATAAGCTTAAAAATATTTTACAATAAATTACATTGTAGTAACTGTAAGTCAGGCTTAAAGGTGACTGTTAGAGGAAATATAAATATAGAATCTCACACATCATGAAGTAACTACAATATTTTTTTAAAAAGTAAGTTAAAAGCTGCATAAAGAGATATATTCATTGTTAGAAACTTAAATATGGTATTGAAGAAGCTGTGGCAGACGGGGTATTTGACTAGGGAGAACTCTGGGAAAGTGGGCTGTCAGGAATTTGAGTGTGCAAATTCCAGGAGTGTTTTCAGTTGCCCTTTAATTCCTTACAGCTTAGTTTTTCAATCTGCTTGGTTTTATAGTGCAAGTCTAATCTCATGTTAACTTTAATAGTAAAATATATTCATATGACATTATTTTGGAAGACCATGGAAGTTATGATTGAGTTTTAGTCCAGACATGCTGAGTAAACAGAATATTTGCTATTAAGTATTTTTAAATGGTACAAATCTTTTTCAAATGAACTGAATTGAGAAGTGCATTTATATTTCTAAACTTACAGTATGAGATTATTGCATGTAAGAGTGAAAACATCATAAGATTTAGTGTTTAGTGCAATTTAATTTATAAAGTTTCTCTTGGGCATCTATAAATTATTATATGGCTGGACTTTATATCTTTTCCTACTTAGTGATGGTTTTGATAATTGAGTTGTTTTTCATTTGTTACTTAGAATTGATAAGGAGACAGAAGAAAGAAGGCAAAAAGCTATCGAGGAGGTAATTAAACTTTGTGCTATCAGATATTGATTTGTCTACAGAAAAGATCCACATCTTTTACTGTATTTGAAAACCCAGAAGCCTATTTTATTTCAATAAAAAAGTAATTTTGTGCCCTCATTCCTTGTGGTTGGAGTCCACACATTCTGTTTCTTCCCCTCGTCTTTTGGACACATAGGTCAAAACAACAAATTTTTTTCTTTCTTTTTTCTTGGCTAGTGGTAATGTAGCTGTAATATAACTCTTAAGGTTAACTTCAGGTTAAAAAAAATGAGAATTTGGGGGTTTACAGTAGCTGTTGGAGTGATACTGCATTTGTTGAAATATTGGAGAATTTGTGTGATTTTTTTATTTCTTCCAAAGTCTGCTTAGTCGGAGGGAAGAATTCTGGTAGCTTGTTTTCTTGTTTTTTTTAATCCGTTTTTCATTTTATTTTTCACTATTCATTTGGCTAGCAGAGAGGAAAAGTGAAGTGTTTAAAATATTCAATGCAGAAATCTTCAGTGTTATTTCAATTTAAAAAATAAATAAGTCTCTGATAGGCAGGTGTATCAGTTTGTCTCTACAAAAAAAAAAACGTTTTACTCCATAAAGGAGGTGTGTATTTCACCTGAGCTATGATGTTCTGTTGGTCTAAACTTGCATTAAAAGGGGTATTTCCTCTTTGTGAGGTATAACCTCATGGATTGTGCTGCTGAACAGCTTGATACCCTGTCTCTGATAAAAATTATACCTTTAATAGTTGCATGTTTCAAGCTGAGTTTTTTCATTTACGCCAAGTCTTGCATTTATTTGAGAACAGGATTTTCCATGTGGTTCTTGATGCTTTGTAACAGTGTTCATCTCCTCAGCATTGGGGTGTTTCTCAGTGATGATGATAGACAGTTTCTGGTTCACAGAAAAAGACTGAAGTGCCAGTACTCAAAAGTGTTTTACCACTAACCAATTTAGCCAAATACACTAACACTAATAATGTTGCCAAAAAGCCTTGGTTTATCACTTATACTGTTACTGCAGTGTCTGTCACTTCTGTGAAATAGCTCAGTTGTCAAATAAAGCTTAATAGACTGAAAATTTAAAAATAATTATTTTTAAACTACTATGCAAGAGGCATGGTAGTGATAAGAGTAATTATTGTTAAATGAAACTTCTATAGTTTTCACTTTGCAGACTTGAAAGATCTGAGGCATTATGTGTCAAAAGAACATAGGGGTCTCCAAATCAAATTGTTTTTTCTTTAACCTCTTTGGGCCTAAAATAATGAAATGTTCTACTTTTTTTTCTTGTTCAGGGTACTAGTCTAAATTTAAATTGAAAATTTTAAAAAGTGCTGAGATGGTTTGTTTTTATTCTACTCCAGTTTTTCACAAAAAAACTCATAGTTCCTTCTCCTTGGACTGAACATGAAAGCAAGGAAGTTTCTCAATTTAATTCAACTAAATGTAAGTTGCCTTTCTGTGCACCCAAAATAATAAAGCTTTTGGAGAAGTTATCAAGCATAATTCTTTTTTAACCTCAATTTAAATTTGAAGAACCAATGATAAAATATGGCACAACTGATTATTTTCAGCTGTTGTCTCAAAGTTTCTTTGTTTAAAAATTATTTATTAATTGAAAGTCTTAAATAATTTTTCCTTTTTGTTATTCTTGGTCTTTGTTCTTTAATTTTTTCACTCTAATAATCTGTCTGCATTGGTTTTAATTTACACACATAACTTTGTATCTATAACTCTCAGCTGTATTGATACTGGCAACAGCCAAGTCTACTTCACTTTTTTCTTCAGATATTTTCATTTTTCCTCTTATTCCAACTGCTTTCCTCACCATATAAGCATATTGGAATTTGAATTCTGTATTGTTTTACCCTTACTAGCAGCATAAATTCCTGTTGTCATCCTGCTAGCTCACTGCCACTAGTTGTGGGGATTTTGTTCTTAATGCTGTTATTGAAGTTTATATATAACCAGCAGAATACAGAACAAATGGGTTACGAGATGGAAAATGTGAGCTATAAAGTATAGTTTGCATGCCCTGTTGTTTGATATGAAAGTCTTAAATAAATGGGGATTTTTGCAAGATTTGGAAAAGGCTAAACTGTTAAATTTTTTTAGCAAGGAGATATAGCTTATGCATAGTATATTTTAATTGTCTGTTGTAAGATGGTCACTTTAAGGGCAGAGAACATAAGGCATAATCCAAAATCTGGTAAAATGAATGGTGGAAGAAAACGGTCTAGTGTGTTCTTTAGATGCATAAAAATAGTTGAAGTGTGTCTTCACCTTTCTCCAGTCCAGACTGAATAATTTTCTGGAAATGTGTTTTACTTGAACACAGCCTGTTTAGCTAAGCATGAACTAGTTTGTTTTAAATCCCTGTCATGTAGAGACAGCAGGAGACAAAGTTTTAGGCAGTGTTGATGCTACTTCACTAAGCTTTTTTTGAATAGAAACCTGCTGAAATATCTCTTGATAGCTGTAACAGTAACCTTTTCTCAGTACTCCTTTCTAATCTTTTCCAAATACCAATGCAAAAATCTTGATTGGTTATATTAAGTATTCTAATTTAATGTTGCTACATTTCAAAACTATATGAAGAGCGTATTTAAATTTAAGTTCTCTGTTTTCCAGCCATAGATATAAATAATATTTCTCCGATTGGAAGACAGCTGAGCTTGCAGCCTGGGAAAAGCAATGGTGAGTAAAAGGCAATGCCTAAAATTACAGGCTTTCTCTGAAGAAAAATAACCTATTTTTAATGGCTATTTAATTTCAAAAGGAAATAATTTGTTTATTAGTGCTACTGTAGAAATATTTTTTCTTGATCTGTATGGTACTATTAACTTTAATATCCATTTCTCATAGGAATTTAATTCTTTTATACTCTTGTATTTTTTCAAGTTAAAAAAAAGTCCCCCGTAGACTGTGGAGTGCATTTTTTCCAACTCAGTGTCTGTGTATTTTCTGGATTAAAAAGTGAACGTGAGCTTCAGATTTACAAGTAAATTACAGTTTCGAAAAACTTTTAATATATTGGATTGCTCTGGGTAGAGAATCATGATTATTTTCTATGACAAATAAATATCAGAACTCTTAATATGTCTTTTAAACTGCATAATTTTAGATAAATAATAACTTTTTTTCCCCAAGGTATTTTGATTTTTTCTGCTGCTTCCCTTTGAATCCTTCCTTTCTTCAGAGAGATCTCTCTTCTCAGTTAACATAAAAGTCTCTAAAGAGGCATTTTTAAAACTCTTGGGCTTTTATCTCTTAAGTCTTATGTGCTGCATGTAGTATTGTCAAATCAGAATTGTACTTTAATTAACACTTTTCCTTATTGCAATTGTAATTTAAATAGCTCAATTGCAGTGCAATTTGAAAGAGAATTTTTGTTTCTACAGCTTTAGTAAAAGGTCACTGTAAGCTAATTTTGTTGGTTTTATTCATTTCAGCTGCTTGTCAAACAGTACTGACTTTGCCAGTGGATTTTAATTTAGAGAAAATACTTGGTATGTCATGCAATACCTAAATTTAATTATGAATGTCTAAATAGAAAACTTATTTTTGTATTGTTGGCTGGGTTTGTCTTGTGAAATACTGAAAATGAGATGTATGAATGAAAGTTTTAATTATGTATTCTAAATAGACAGTTACTGCATGTTGCATGGGACATGTGGCTTAAATAATATGGTTTGAGTGTGGATGTAAAGATAAAAAAAGGAGGGATATGGAAGACAATTGGAAATTGTTCTGCCTGCAGGTGATTGAGGTGAGACCTCCTTGCCTTCTACAATTTCCTCAGAAGAGAAGGGGCAGGCATTGGTCTTTTTTCTTTGGTGGCCAGTGACAGAACCTGTGGGCATGGCCTGAAATTGTGTCAGGGGAGGTTTAGGTTGGCTATCAGGAAAAGTTTCTTCACCCAGAGGGTTTTTGGGCACTGGAACAGGCTCCTCAGGGATGTGGTCACAGCAACAGGCTGGCAGAGTTCAAGAGCATTTGGACAATGCTCTCAGGCACATGGTGTGACTCTTGTGAGGTCCTCTGCAGGGCCAGGAGTTGGACTTCTATGATCCCTTTGTGCCCCTTCCAACTCAGGATGCTCTATGTTTCTATGAAATTGATTAACAGTTCTGATTGCCTGGAAGGTAATGAGCAGAAGACAGCCCGTGCCTCTCCCAAACAGAGCAGTAATTTGTCTCAGCAGAGCTGTTTGGTTTACAGGTGCTGGCCAGGAGTCTCAAAGCCCAACCTTGCCTTGAGTAAAGCTGAGCTGTAACTCTGGCTTTAGTGTACCTGAAACCATGATGGGGACTAGAAGTTGTGTGGTGGCAAAAAGCCATGACTGATGAGTGAGGAGCCAGGAGTCTAAATTAACTGTCAGATTAGAAGTGCTACGTGAAGGAATTGCTGCCACCTTCTCAGGCAAGGGGGCTGGAAGGGCCTGATCCTGCAGCTCAGAGGTGGGATTAGTGGGTACAGCCAGCTCACAGCATTTTGGCTGCATGCTCCTATCCCAGTACTGAAATTCAGAACCCTGACTGTGGGCCAACAAAACAGAACCATATTTTTTGCCTTTGTTTTTTATCTTAACAAATGCTTCCATCATTACATAGTTTGGGAATTCATGAAAAAATTCTCCTACAGGGACTATCCAGTAGAGCAAGATGAAAAAAACTAAAATAATCTCATAGATCTGAGGATATTTTGATGGGTCTTAGTTTGTGCATTCCTACTGTAAACAGCTAACTGCCTGGACTTTCTTCAAGTCTAACTGGTTTGCCACAATAGATGTATCATGAAGATTATCAAAGCATATGGGGGACCTGAAAAGGTCTTGGTTTGCTTGGATAGTAACCGCTGTTCGACAGCTCAGATGTGAGGAATAATAAAATTCTGGGGAAAGATAAATAAGTAGATAAAAGCCAATATTTTTTATTTTTTTTAAATTCAGACTTTTGTATTAAGGGATAATAGGCAAAAATGGAATGAACCTTAGTAGACAGAGGTGACTTCTTGTAGGGATGACAAGCAATCCTTTGGGATAGGTGCCTAAACAGATTAATTAGTTGCTATATTGGTAAATTAGATTAAATGTTTTAATTTAATTGCATATATATCTGTAATGGAATGTTTTTGGGTTTTTTTCTGCATTTGTATTGGAAATAATTTTCCCCCCACATTTCTAGGTGAATATTTTAGAACTGATGAATTTGCAGATCAGTCTCAGGAAAATCTAAGCTCTTCATCACTCAGAAGAAAGCTATTTTTAGAAGAAAATGGAAACGTATCTGCATGTTTGTCCCCTTCTCTGCATAGTCCATGTGGTAGTCAGCCACTTGGAGTGCTTTGTTCAATAGAATTATCTCCAGTCCGGTGCAGAAGCCCCCTGGACACATCTAGTTCAGTAAGTAGCCTGTTTTCTGGGCTGGGTGGGATTTACTTTGAGAGAGTAGGTGTTAGACTAAAATTTTGGGGTTTTTTATTTGTTTTGGGGTTTTTTTTTCAAATTCTGCAAAAATTATGTGAACAAAAGTCTTGAAAGAATGTATTTATTATTTCGTATATTATTATTTTAATTATTTCCAATTTTTTAATATTTATTATATTTTTATTTATTATTATATTTATTTTATTTCTTTTATTATTTTTATTTTTTTATTTAACTGGACTTTTTATTACTTCCAGTAACTCTGTTATGCTGCCCTTCTTTTGTATTGGGAATTATGTTTTGATTTTGTTATGCAAAGGAAGTAGGAATTAATACATATAAAAGACTTGCTGAAAGCATGTTAAAACCTTCCTTTTTTTTTTCATAAAATGTATCTACAAAAAAGGTCCTGTTTAAATCCATGAATTGCTGCCTACAATACCACTTGATATGAACATGTGATATAATTGTATTTCCTTTAAATCTCATAAACTCATTTATAGTGAAAGAAATGATTTGTGGATCTTTGAATTGCAGTGCTAAATATGCCTTTTCTTTCGCACTGGCCAGCGTTTTCAGATGAATAGACATTTATTAGGACACAGAATGTAATGTCCATTTTTTAAATTAAACAAGATGAACCTTATCCCCATGTGGACTTAGCACAGCTAAACTGGTTTAGGTGATATATTTTCATCTGTTTGGTGGTTTGAAGTGCATGGAAAAAAACCTACCTGCACTAGGATAGTGTATCTTATAACAAAAGGTAACCTAGTAAAGAATTCTTACACTATAATTATAGTGCTAGAAGTGATGGGGGGTGAGGGGGTGGGTTTTGGTCTGTGGTTTTTTTATTGTTGGTTGGTTCTTTTTTTGTTTTGTTGTTTTGTTTGCATGATAGTCTTAAGCAAGGTCATTCTCTTAAAGAAAAACACTTTTGTATCTGCTGCTGAATTAAGCAGATTGGATTACATTAAGATATAAATAGTGGCTGACTTTTATCTGCAGTGATATGAATAAGAAATTTAGATTCAACACTTGACTAGATACACAGCATTAATTCTCTATTTAGGTTTCTCATAGTTCTTAAATATAGTGGATAAAGTAGTCATAGCTGGTATTACGTGACAGTTTGTGTCCATTGCTCTTTTCCCCTGTGTTTTGGCATAAGGCCCAGGTGAAGAGCTGTAATTGGAATATTTAAGCTAAACTAGAGATCATTGTAAAGGATTAGTCTTTACCAGTGCAGCCATATTAAGCATTTTAGTTAGAACAATTATATATGTATATGTGTATGCTCCACAGTTTACATTACAAAATTAATGCTCTTTGGGTTTGTTTTTTTATTTAATTGAAGGCTCAGTTTTCATCAAGTCCTATTCAGGGAGGAACAAGAGCTTATAGTTTGGGAAGTATAACCAGTCCGCCGTTTTCAGAGGGGTCTCCTGCGCATAATGGTTCTCCTGCTTTTTCACCAATTGCTTTTCACATAAGGAAAACACCACTCTCAGGTATGGTTTAACTGGATATGTATTACTTTATCTTGAGTAATATATTTTATTATAAAAACTTCTAAATTCTTAGTGGACCCTTTTTCTGTTTGGAGACGAATTCCTGTGCTTGGGAGACGAGCAGTCTCTTATGTGACACATTTGCTGTTCAGCAGTGAAATATGTGAAACAATGAAATGTGTATGCTTGCAACTGATCAGCTAGGGAAAATATTTTGAAAGAAGGCATTAAGACCCAACAAGAATGAAGAAAAGTTAAAAGGGTTAATTTAATTGAGTGTGGGTTTTAAAGCCACATGCCTGAACTGTCAGGTTACAATTCTGATGTGGCCTAGTTTGAAGCCTTTTCATGTCAATGGGAAAAGAATGTTTAGCTTGAGCTTTCAAATCATGCCATCATAAAGATTACTTGAAATGAAATAACTAATGAAAAAATCACAAACGTTTTGTGTCCTCATTGCTCTAGAAAATGTCACTGTTTCATGCTGTGTCCATACCTGGTAAGGCTTAATGCCTTGTTTATAGATGATTATATACCTTTGACATGGTTATGCATATTTATACATGACTTTTACACATTTTGATTAATGGTATTTTGCATCATTATATATGGAGATTGCACAGATGTTTTCTCACTTGTTTGATCTTAAACTTCATTGCTGCCAAAAATTTAAATGCCTATAGATTGTGTATTGACATTTTTTTAGGAAAAAAACATAGAACCAGCCTTCACCCATTTTTTTTTTCAATACTGTTTAGTAATGACATTTCAAAATACAAGGTCTCCAAAACAGAAAATCATGTCATAGAAATTTGGTGGGATAAAAACTTGCCTTTTACCATGGTAGCTGAAATGTATGGGTGGTGGGTTTGGTTTTCAGGGTTGCTTGTTTAGTTGGGTTGGGAAGCAACAGTCAGTGAAATAATCTGTAGTTGGCTATAAATTATTCAGTCGACTGTAGGGCCTTGAGAATGATGAGTTTTTCTGTCAGATATCAGGTTGAATTAAACTTTGTTCTTTTTTTTTCAGACCAAAGAAAATTTACATTTCGTTCTCCAGATATTCCTTCTTCCTCCAATAGAATGACACCCCCAACAAGTACAAGAAGTCCTTACATAGATGGTTGTTCTCCAATTAAAAACTGCTCTCCTATGAGGCTTGGAACCTGTAGAGGAACTGCCCAATATCAGACTTCTGTCATTAGAATACCAATTGCAGTTGAGAATCGTGATGAGGATGAGGAAGACAAGGAAAGCACTTCTTCAGCAGAAGCTGGGTTCCCAGAAATTGATAATGGAATAAACTTACATCAGGAAGGCAATGATACTTTTGCACATGGTACACATCTTGTGGTGGCAACTGTGTCTATTGCACCAGATCACTCAGAAGGTTGTCATCAAAGGTTGTCATCTTTTCAGGATATAGAAGGCTTAAAGGAAAGTAATACTGTAGACATGGCTGATGCTGCTGAAGTGTCAGAGGGAAACACTTGGATAAAAGAAACAATTGGCAGTAGCAATACACCAATGACCAGCTTTATGACAGGCATTACTTTCAGTATTGAAAGCTCTCGCATGTGCATGTCACCTCTTGCAGAAAGCAGTGTGATTCCTTGTGACAACAGTAGTATTCAGGTAAAAATATTTATTTTTTGTTTCTCTGTAAAACTGAGCTTGACATGGAATGTGTATACTAATCTGGAAATAATTTTCTCTTACTTGATATGGCATGCAGGCAGTATCATGACTTACCCCTTCCCTCCATCTCCTCTTTCAGTGTAGTTAGCATAGCCATTATTTTTCCATTGCTATGTACAGTAGTATATTTAACTTAATCCAAACTAATGCTGACAGACCTGCTTACAATTTGCTTTTGTTATTAGTCAGTCATAGTTGGTTTGTTGGATTAAGTTCTGTTAATCAAATGCAAATCATATCTGATATCTGAGGGATTTATTTGTGTTGAAATTTTTCAAGCTCTGCTTTTTGATTTTAGGTGGACAGTGGTTACAATACACAGACTTGTGGAAACAGCATTATGGATACTGCAGAGGCTGAAAACAGTTGCAAAGAAAACGATGTGAATACTGTTATGTTTCAGAATAAATCTCAGCTGCTCAGAACAAAGGTAGGAATTAGAGGAAACTGAGGTATATGCATGAGTAGTAGTAATGAGACTGCTCATGACTATTGTAGTCTGTCTCTAATTTTTGTTCTTTTGTTCTTTCTGTTTCTTTTTGTTCTTTGCTGCTTTATTTATTGTTAAGTTTTAAACATGTGCCTGTGGAGAAGGACATTTCTGGGGAAAATTTGTTTGCTGCTGATTTTTATAAACTTAGTGTCAAGTCCATACCATACCTGGCATGTTGACTTGGTGAGGAAATTTCTGTGTGGGTATTCTTTTGGTTACAAGCCCTTTGAGAACCTAGCTGAAAAACACATTACAAAAGATAATGCCTTATCTAGCAACCTCTTAATCTTGTGACTGATAGGAAAGAGTTCTACTTCCTCCTGAGAATTGGAAGCAAGGCTAGTTTCTTTGGAGAAGAGAGCAAAGATCATCTCCTCTCAGTAAATATGGTCACATGGTGCTACAAACTTAGTAGTTTATGGTCTGCTATGTCTAGAAAGTCCTTCAAGGGGACACATTAGTGCCAGATGATAAAAAAATCAAATAAACCTTAACCTAGTCAGGCCTGACTTCACTTCTTGATGTGACATGCTAAAAGCCACTTCTCTGCCAAGGGGAAGTGTAGACTGATGGTGTCTTACAGACCACTGACATCAAATTTTAAACTCTGTTCATTTAAGACTAGGACAAATGTGCCCATACAAGAACAATAGATAGATGTTTTGTCATTAACATCTAAAAATACTCAAAGATCCTGTCCCGGTCACCCCGTTGGACATGGATTTTATGTGTGCATGTACTTACCAGAATCAATTGTCTGGCATCAAACCCATCCTAGAGCTACTTGCCAATGTCATGTAGCTGCCTTTTCCCACTATTAGTCTTTGAACTGCTGGCTCCTGACTAAACCAAATTTTGCATTTTAGATTAGGAGTAAAGTGTTAAGGCATTAAGCGCTTCATTCACATCTTAAAACTGAGAATCCCCAGGGAATAAATAAAATAAAATAAAATAAAAAAAAAAAAGCAGGGACATTGCTGACTGAAAGATTGAAGTCTGGCTCATTCAGACATTCATGTGAGCCCTTGAAATGAGATAGTTTGTGCACAGCACGTTTCAAAGATCTCTGTAGAGAATGTGTGTTACTTTATTTCTTTCTCATTTCAGAAGGATAGAGTTGGTACTTGAGGTACTTTATATACTTGAAATTTGCAGATAGTAAACTTGGATCTATTTCTTTTGGAGAATTTCTGTGAAAATGGTTTTAAAACTAACTCTTTCTTATTCCCTTAGGAGTGTTCTGTTTTAAGCCATAAGGACAATCAATTGCTGAGAACAAAATCTCCAGAGAAGCAATCCTGTTTTCAGAAAGCCAAAACACATAGCACAGTATTTGGTCAAAATGCAACTTGCAACATTTCTGCTTGGAAACATAAAAATGAAAATCAAGTTCAGGGATTTCACAAAACTGGTATGTAGTTTTCTTATGGAGAACTTAAGCTGTGGTTTCTAATAAATTTTTATACATATGACCTCAGTTACTTGGATTATACAAGCTATTCTGCTTTTCTAATGCAAATGTTGGGTATATATTAAGGAAGTTTTTAAATAATGCGGGATTTTTCAGGTCTTACTAAGAAATTTATTGGTGTTATTAAGTGATCCTTTTTGAAAAATAAGGTGTCTAGATTTGGTACAGAGAAACAATAGGGTTTTTTTAGAATTGTATTCCTTCTGTGACTAGGGTGGATTCCATGAGCAGCCTAGGATAATTTGCATAGGAACCAGTATAACTGCAAAATCGCCTATATTTTAAGATTTGTCCCTCCTAAAAGGCATGAAAGACGTTCTCTGTGGGAAAGAAAAAGTGAAAGGGGTATTAGTCTGGTTTTGGATTGCTTTTCTCCAGACTGATATATTGTATGGCTTCATAAATACTACCAATAGTACCAAGAGTAAGTCACTGGACAGAAGTGAACTGCTGAGGTGTGATGAGAGCAGATGCCAAGTTTAGTTCTCTTAGAAATGTAAAATGAGCTTTATGTCAAAAGAAGCTGTTTAGTAATTCTCCAAACAGCTTTTTCCTTGGTTTGACAGAAATCTGTCATGTCAGTTAGGTTTACTAGATACTTAAGTAAAATGTATTATTGGTTACCTTAAAATTAAAAGATAGTGTTGCTGCTTTGGAATTTATATTAGTACTAAACTTGGAGCTGATCACCTGACACTACCAGTGTCTCTGAAGAACACTTGTGTCCAAATTGATGCTCTGGTACTCTTTGTAAGTGTACCTTTCTAGGAAGGTGCAATAAGATTCATTGGTGTCAGTACATCACTAAGAAAATGCTTTTCTTCTATAAAAGTAAACTGTTACACTTTTACTTATATGTTTAGTTCCTACTATTATTATGTTGCTTACAGAAATTACCAAAATACTTAGATAAAGCCTTTAAAAAATATAATGAACTTTTTGCGTGCCATTTATTACCAGAAGTATTAATACAAGCAAAGCTTTGATCCTTTAAAAAACAAAATCAATGAATTAAAATAATGGACTGGGCGGAGGGGGGTCAGAAACCAAGAACTCCATTTATGTAATCAAATGAGATTGGTTGAATTTGCTTGTATTTGTTTAAAAGAACCTTCTGGAATTTATATGTGTAAATAGGGAGAAAAAAAATCCACATGGTAATCTTGTCACCCTAGTGACCAAGAGGGAAAGAAGAGGTATGGGATACACTGGTATTTCCAGGCTGTTTATGTAGAGCTCTGGTAAACTTCATTGGATTAATGAAAAAGGGAAGTCCATTCTAACAAGTGTTCCAGGTAAAGCAGTCTTCCTCTCTTTTCATAGCAATGATGTCCCAGGATACTGGATGGAAATTCTGCTTTCTGTTCTATTCCACAACCCACAGAAAAGCTTGTACCAAAGTGACAGTGGCTGATGAGCAGCTGTTGGCACACTAGGCCTGAAACCCATTAGTCACATTGGTCAGGTCTAAATTTGAAGGCAGGACAGCATTTTAAAAAAATCTCAAAAGGGGAAGTGTGAACAGAATCTCTTGGCATTAATATCAGTGTGTTAGACCTGAGAGTTGTGTGTTGTTTGAATAGAACAGTTCTTGAAATATTTTCATTTATAATTTCCTAGTGAAGGCTTTCTGAGAAGCATATTTCAAAAGAGGAAATGTCTGCATCACTTGATTGTAGTTCTCACATTGCAAAAATAAATATTGAAAAATTTACTTTAGAAATCTAATGAGCAAACATAATGTGCATTATTTTTACTTCTGTAGCAGTTTAATCACTATTTCTGAAATGCATGTGGGATTGACATGGAATGTCAATGTAATGGAATCGAGTGTCATAGAGTAGCTATTTCATGATCTTCAAACGGTGCCCTACTAGAAGCTGAAATACACTGAATTGGTAACTGTTAAGGGATAAATTTTGTTAAAAGTAGGAAATGAACCCAAGACTTCTGGAAAACAAACTTGAATAGGGCCTTCAAAATGTTCTTAGCTTTAGCTTCTAGGTTTTGTCACTCAGAAGCAGGATAAAACTTGTTTGAGATTTAAAAGTTATGTATGACCTTGTGTCATTTCTGTTTCTCATGATAACTTCAATGCTAAGCAGTTAAAAGGACTGTACAAAGCATTTATTTTTGCAATTGTGATTACTAAAATAATGTAAATTTAATGAATGTTAAGCAGGGCAACCCAAATTATGATCTGTTTCTGAATTTTTCCGAGTTACGTGTATAATTAAGATTTATTTTTTAACTAAATCTTTTGTTTTTATAATGTGTTCAATGATCAGAGGCTTTTGAAGTATTCACAAGTAAAAAAGCCATCCCTTAAGTATTTAACTTCATCCTGTATTAGTATTTTCTTAAAGGTAAGAAAAACGTAAGAGCAGAAATAAGTGAATGTGAGAAGTGATTAAGGATGCCCCCACCTGGATTGCCTGTATTTTTTGTCCTGTTTTGTAGTCTTCAGTTAGATGGGAAATATTTATTTTATGAAAACATGCTTATTTTTTTATTATGTTTGTACAACTGATTTGTAGAAGAAACCTGCTGTGCAAATTACCATGGAAATCACTTCACCATTCTGTTTCTGTTGTTGTTAATACATTGGTTGGCACACCTTGCACGAAATGGTCATTGTTTACATTAAATTAAACCAGTAGTTTTAATTAGAGTCCTTTAACTTGTCTAATTGTAAATTGAGTAGTGAAACAGAATAAAGACATTTCTTTAATACCTATTGTTTTATTCTTTAATTACTTCTTCCAGTTCTGAGGTGCTAAAGAGAATGCAAAGAATTCTGTCAGACTCTCAAACCTTCCTTAAGGCTGGCTGTTAACAAGAAACTCTACAATTGTTTCTTCACTTTGCAGAAATATTTATTTTCACCCACAGGACAAAGGTGTAGATATACATTATTTTAAAACTTGTTCTGCATTCACAGTCATAAAAAAGTAGCTTTAAAAAAATTCTTTATAGATTATTAAAATGTGTATTTAAAAAGTAAACAAAACCGGCTTCTAGCATTTTTTGCCCATAGGGAAAAAATATGTAAATGCAAGTACTTGTGATTTCTTTTGTAGCTATTTTTGTAGCTTCTTTTTCTTTTTCTCTGGTTCCTCCTTGCTGCTTGCCTCTGCAGAGAGATGTGCAGGCACATCATTTATCTACAGTAAGAAAAGAACATAAGTCAGAACATTTTCATTCAGTTTTTGCTATCCTGGTAAAACTTGAGTTTACTTGTACAGACCTTTTACAAACACTGTGTCAACATCAGAAACTTCTGATTTAGATGAACACCTAAAAGAGGGTCTGCCATCTTAGAATAATCACAGGTAGAACACTCACCTGAAATTAAAAGCTGAAAAAAAAGAGGCAAAGAGAAGCAGCAGGACACCTCCTGACAAAGCCAACAGGTTGTCAGCAGCCCAAGCATGAGCTTGCATTAGCCTTATATTGTGTCTCTTTTCAAAGTGTCCCTCAGACTGGAGACACACCTACAACAGAAGCTCCTGAGAAGCTAGAGTTGGTGAGCACAAGCAGAGAGCAGCTCAGCAGCACAACAGAATACAAGGGCTCCTTTCTGCTCCAGTTTTTGTCTACTCAGTTTTTGAAATCACAGGGATTCAACTCAACAGACTCGAGGGGTGGACAGATCAGAGCGCCCTGCTGGGGAGGACCTGAGGGTGCAGGTGGCTGAGAGGCTGGACATGAGCCAGCCATGGGCACTCCCAGCCCAGAGAGCCAAAGGTGTCCTGGGCTGCATCCAGAGCAGCGTGGGCAGCAGGGCCAGGGAGGGGATTCTGCCCCTCTGCTCTGCTGAGACCCCACCTGGAACCCTGCATCCAGCTCTGGGGTGCCAGCACAGGAAGGACATGGAGCTGTGGGAGCGAGTCCACAGGAGGAGAGGCAACAAAATGATCAGAGGGTTGAAAGAAGCAGCTCTCTGTGAGGAAAGGCTGGTAAGAGTTGGAGTTGTTCAGCCTGGAGAAGAGATTCTAGGGAGACCTTTGAGCAGCCTTCCAGGACCTGAAAGGGGAGCCTACAAGAAGGCTAAAGAGGGACTTTTCACAAGGGCATTCAGTGACAGGAAAAGGGGGAATGGCTTCCTCCTGCCCCCACCTGAAAGAGGGTAGGTTTAGTTAAGGTATTAGGAAAAAATGCTTTATTCTGAGTGATGAGGTACGGGAACAGGCTTCCCAGAGAAGATGTGGATGCTGGATCCCTGGAAGTATTCTAGGATGGGGTTTTGAGCAACCTGATCTCATTAAATGTGTCCCTGCTTATTGCAGGGGAGTTAGAACTAATGATCTTTAAAAGGTCCTTGCAACCCAAACCAGTCTGTGGTTCAAACTCATACAACACCAAGAATATTAGAATATATTTACGTGTTTGGAAGCATCATTTCTCAAGGAAAAAGGTAATCATATTTAACTGTATAAATAGAAAGAATCTGTTGCTTATTTTGGGTTATCTTTCTTTCCTCTGATAAGGGATACTCATTGCTGCAGCCATCTGTTTACCAAGAAAGTTACATGTACTTTAAGAGCAGAATTTTGTAATGTCATGCAAAATACTTATCAGGCCTAAAGTATGAGAACAAATGCGAATCTCAGTGTCCTAAATGCACAAAGCTAGAACTAAAAAGTCTATAGAGATTAGAGACAGTTATTAGGACCTTACAGTTCTTGCAACATTATGAAGAGAGAATTTTTATATTGTGGGAATTGTAAGACAGAACTACCACTGACACCCAGCAATTATACAGAGCCGAGCCACCCATCACAGCTGTACTTCACTGGAGTAAAGGGAAGATCCTGCTGAATTTTGGCAGATTTTCAGAGGGACAATTGATTACACAACTGTGAAAGTCAATGCATTACTTCAGAAAATCATCAGTCAACAGTGGAACTATCCTGATGGGCCCAAAACGTAAGTTTAATTTATAAGGCTTTATTCCTTTCAACAGCCAGTGAAAGCAGACCTCTGTTTTATTGAGAGTGGATATGAAGCAATCATTACAAGCTGGTTTTAAGTTTTGTTTTTTCTTTTGGGTTAAATTTCAATTTTACCACATGATGATTTTTTAACATTACTGAAGGATAATATGGTTCTAAGAACTCTGTGCCTTACCTTGGGTTCTACCAAGACCATCCGCATTTTCTGATGTTGGATGTTGGAATCATCTAACATAATGTTCACTTTAACTTTATCAAATATATGTAATGTTGTGTCTTCCACAGTAAGTGATGGCACCTGAAAGTTCAAATTTTGTATACTCACTATTTGCAACAGCTTATGTTTTTATACAAGTAAATATTTTTCGTACAAAAATATTACTGTTACATGTAAATAAAAATAACCAAAAATTAATGTAGTGAATATTCAGTGTTGTAATATGTGGTACATACATTTTTTGCAGTAATTAATCAGGTAATTAGATGTCAGTACTACCTATTATAGAAACAAATTCCTGTCAGAATCTACTTATTTAGACTTAGAAAGACTATAGTGGCATTACTACTAGAGATTAATGAACTTGCACTTAGAAAAGCCTCTCTTACCCTTCTAACTCCATCTACAATAGATTTTAGTCATTCTGCTTGCTTACCAAATCAGAAAAAAGAAGTGTTTAAGAACAAATAACAGTAAGAACGTACCTCACTGTTGTACTCCAGTTTTGGTGCTGGTTTGTCTTTTTCTTCAAAGAAGACTGTTCCTTCTAACCCATACTTGGGAATCAGAACCACAATCGCATTTTTTCTTACAAATAATATATATGCATCTTCATTTACTACTCCCTTGGTTTTGAAGAACAGCTGTAACAAAAGCAGAACATACAGATCAGAAAAATAAAGCACTAGAACATTCTCTTTTGAATTAACAATACACTCTCAGAAAAATGAAACAGTAATGTGATAATTACACAGCATATCCTGAAAGCAGGTTTTAAAAAATCACATAAAGCATTTATAACATTACTTTAGGATTAAGCATTCATATTTATAAAAGCACAAAACTAAAAGAATCCTCAAGATGCCATTCTGAATTTTTCAGAACAAGCAAAGTAATGTTTTAAGCTTTTTGTAAGAAGCATCCCTCAGCTTTTAAAATTTCTGCTCTCTTGCTTGGTTTTGCCCTAGCTGTGTCCATAATTCAGCATAACATCCCAGAACTACTTACCTGCGTATGGAATGCCACAGAAGCTCTTTGTGCATACTGTGCCATTTTATGTCGATAATTGAGATTTTTACACATCTCTGCCAGCTTGTGTTTATCTGTGAGTTCTGGGTAAGTACTGTCTGCTCCTATGGCCACTGCCAAAAGCCGATGGACTATGATATCAGCATACCTGCAAGAATGAGGTTAAAATCATCAATGACACAGTAAGACAGATTTTCAAAATTAATAAAAAAGTTTCTGAACATACATTTGTTTTGGTGACTTACAGATTTAAGGTTTTGTAATAATGATGGTCTGCTGGCAACTCCCTCTATTAATTCAGCATCCATCTCTTTTCTGACCAAAGATACACCGCAGAGCCAGAATACTGTTAAAATGTTTGCTAAGATAAATTCCTTATTGTGCCAGAAAAAGAAACAAAGTTGTATTTTTGGACTTAAGAATGATCTTTCACCATGGCATTTTAAGCCAATCTTTCTTCCCTCCCCCATGAAATTAGATTAATTTAGTGCAGAATAGTATGTCAATGCCATAGATCTGTGAAGTATAATCACATTTGAACTTCAGCAAGGAACTTTTTAATACATTTGGTAAGAACTAAAATGTACCATTTGGACTCCTAGAAGTTCCACAAATTATCCATATAAATACATAGGAATTTTAATCCACATCTAAGAAATTTCACTTGAAAAGTTTCTAAGGAGCACGATAACAATTATTTTCTTCAAAACTCAGTGACTTCTTGGTCAGGAGAAAAATCTTAACATACTTTTCCAAGAAGTATGATTTCATTGCACGCAACAGCTGCCAATAACAAGTTCCCAATGACCAGTGTTTTCATATGGAAAATACAGTCTCCTCAAAATTCAAACACAGTTTCCATCTCAAAAATGGCTGAGCAAACTCTGCCCCAGTCTAAGACTAATGCTAACTGACTCTGAAGTGCATTTCTATGCCAGACATGTGCATTAGCTATGTATTCCTATTATTTTTGGATTTTTTTTTTAAATGTTAACCCTAGGAGTTGTGGACAGTAAACATGGGAGTGTACATGAAGATGGGCCACCATGTAAGCCACTGCTGTTTCAATTGAAATCTAATGCTGAAAAGAAACTTTAATGGACAACACTGTTGAAGAATGGCTTGCTTCTTGAGGCCATAGCTCCTTGGAAGGACTGCACAACCCTGACTTTGAGTTAGCACGAGTCCTTGGCACAACGTTGTGCTAAAGATAAGAGGAAAACTAAGTGCTAATGTGACAATGAATAGGATGTGAATTCAGGATGTGAAGTATGGATGAGAATTCAGGATGTGAAACCTGCAAAATGTATCTTATATAGCCTCCTTAATGTATCTTATGAGTTCTGCTAAAAGTATCTTAAGGAGCTCCAGTATTATGAGCTGGACCAATAATTGTAGAAACTACC